GTGAGTGCCATCCAGCTCTCCCTCCTCCACTATCCCCTTTAAGCAGGGCCCTACTTTGGGGCATATTCCCCTAAAACACAGCAATGTATCCACCCAGTGCTTCCTCCCAGTGTTCCTGAATACAGCTTTCTAGGTCTACCTGTCTGGGAAGGTCCTTAGACATGGGCTTGTGGTAACGGCTCTGCAATTTTTTGGATGCAGTAATGACCAATAGTTAAATGCTTGTAGGAGCGTTAAAACCAATGCTAGGGGAGAAAGGAAGAGATGACCATTTATTGAGTACTCACAAAATGCAAGGAACATTAGACATTTTGTCTCACTGAATTCTCACAAAAACAATAAAAAATATTTCTTGGTTGCCTACTACATAGAAGATGGTATGGTGTCACATCTGAGAGAATGGATTCTAAAGCCAGACCTCCTTAGCTTGGATCTAGGCTCTGCCACTTACTATGTGATTCTGGGCAAGTTACTTAACATCTCTATGCCTCAGTCTCCTCCACAGCAAAATGGGAATAATAGTATCTACCTCCTGGGATTTTAGTGAGACTAACATATGTAAAATATTGAAACAGTGCCAGGCCCCAAGTGTTTGCTGTTATTATTATATGCAAGGGGTATACTTCATGGGGCAGTACTATTGTCTCCATTTGACAAATAGGGACAGGGAGATTCAGTGGGGTTACACAACTTGCCACAGGATACACAGCTTGTGCAGGGCAGAGGCAGATTTGGAAGGCGGGTATATGCAGCTCCTAAGAGCTTTCCATCACACACCAAAGCCAGAACCTATTTCTACTACTGAGTTTCTGTTGCTCAAAAAGATTGCAGACAGGTACACAGTAGGGGCTATATAGATTTTTGATCAATAAATATTATTGAAAATATTTGTCCTTCTAACTAATAAACCACATGAAATGCAGGACGGTTCAGGAAGGCGGCTGGAGTGACCGGGAAGTGTAGGTCAAGCCTTCTTTGGGTTCAGGCAGGAGCCTGGAGGTAAGGAAAGGTTCCCAGGAGAACAAAGGATTAGTCACAGGAAACCATGATGGGAGGGGGGTGGAGGGCAAAGAAAGGGAATTTCAGTGGAAGCAAGGAGCTGGTTATCCAGGACTAAGATGAGAAGGGCAATGGCAAGGGCCAGAATTTCTGGAGACTGCGTATCTGGATGACAGAGCAAAGGTGGGAGCCTGGGTGAGAGCAGGCCAAAGGGATGGGTGCAAATCTGCAAGGGTGGGCCACAGGGACGCTGGAGGAAGGGCAAGCAGGGGGCCTCAGACCCTTTGCAGTCTCAACTTCCTTTCACACTTTTCCTTTCAGCTGCAAAGTAAACTGAGGGCCTCAGAAGGATTAAAGAAAAACAGGAGCAAAGTGCTGGTGTCTGGGGTCCCACTCCTGGGGAGAAAGCACTAAGCGGTGGAGCCAGAGAGCGGCGCAGAGCCCTGGGGTACAAAGAGCCTCCCATATCGCCCCTTCTCTCTCTCACGCTAGAGAGCTGGTGAGACAGCGAACAAGACAATTGTGCAATTAAACTAGATTTTTAGGCTACATTTATCTACACGATTGGGGGGTTGAGTTTTCTAGAAAATAATTCAACTCTCCACTTATTTTTGCTGGATTGTTTTGCCCTAGAAATCAATGGGGAAGCCTTTGATTCAAATTCTGAGGTCTTTTTTCCTGAATGAGTTAGGTTTTCCTTGGCCCCTCTCAAACCTGGGTACCAGATTCTGAGAAAATCCAGAAACAGAAGGAGAGAAGGATGATTCCCCTTGGGGCAATAAAAATCGGCCTGTGTAAGTGCCCACTGAAGGAAAGGATAACGTACCAAAATTCAAAGTAAATTATGGGAGGAGTATTCTCATGACATAGATCATATCGTTTGCTTTAGTGTTTCAACTCAGGATACAATTTAATTTTTATTTTTAACAGCGAAAACGACCATGCTCTAACAAATTAACTCCACACAAATTCATTATAAACACATGCTTGGAGTTGAGGTTCTTTGTTTTCCCCCGCTTTATAATGGGACACAGTGGCTTAAAAATTCTTATCACCAAGCCAAATTCAGCCCTTGGCATGCTTGTGGAACCACCAAGAAAGGCTCAGCCACTTACCAAGAACAAGGTAACCTGTGTTCTCCAGGGCGCAAACCGTGTGTCGGGAAGGGGTAGAGGGGCGAGGGTAGGCGAGGACCTCCAATATCAGCGAGGACTATCAGGACGTCCTGCTAATAAACGACTTTTTCACTGTCCACACTATAATTGGTTTACAGCCTTTTTTGTTTATTTATCCATAAGAGCTGCTGTTAAATGGCTCGGGAAGGCGCTCGCCTAATGGCTCGGTATCGCTGCGGGGCCTGTGGGAGGCGAGAGGGGCGCAGGCGTCAGCGGGGATTCAGAGCGGAAACGCATTTCACCTGTAATGGACTTGGCGATTTTATGATACCACGAGCTATATCCACAGAAGAAATATAATACACGACCTTGTTCAGTGGAGGGTTCCGCAGGGTGCATTTCTCATATGGATATACGTTATAATTTGCCAATCCAAAAATCCTGTTAGCTTTGTCCTACCTAAGAATAATAATAAATGGCTGTTTGACCTTTATTTCCTGAGTCACTTCTTTAGGTAGCAAGGAGCAGAAAATGTGAATTGTGAAAGTGAGAATGTGCGTCCATTGGACACCTTCAGCACCCCGCCCCTCCCCCACGTTTTTGTTCAGCTCGGATTCTGGGTTTTATACCCCCGAGCGCGGGGGGCGGATTTGCTTTCTGCTGAACGTCTCTTCTTTCTGCAGGGCCGAGCAAAAACACTAAATGAGAGCAAATGAAGCATCGAAATGGAGACCAATTTACAGAAATGTGCAATTAGACGAGAAGAGCAAAGTAAACACTCTGGATCGGGGGTGGCGGGTGAGGTGGAGAGCAGAGGGGGAGAAGGGAGGGGCTGCGGAGCGAGTCCGGAGCGGAGGCCACCGAGGCGAGAGAGGGTGAGGAGAAAGGACGGGGGGAGGGGAAAGGTGGCCGATCTTTGTCCCAAGCGGAGCTCGCCGCCCGCTCATAACCGCGTCGCCAAGTCAACCCGCGGCGACTTGGCAGTTTATCTCCGAGGGTCAACACGCCGCGGCCGGGCAACCCCCCTCCGGCTCTGCCCTCCTGATCGATGTAGTCACTCGCGACCCGGGTGATAGCGTTGGATCCTCCGCGGCTGCAGCGAACAATGGATTCATTGATCCGGGTGCGCAGAGATTAGGTGCGCGGGTCCCACGGCCTTTCACTTCCTGGCCCCCTAGGACCGCAGGTGGCCCTTTTCCCTGAAGAAATCGCCGAAACTCCCCCCACCCTCCGGGCTTCCCTTAGCCTGCCCTTCGGTGATAGCCGGGGCATCAACAAGCCCGGGAGCTGCACGCGTTCCCACCCTCGCGCGGACCACTCGGTGCCCAGTACTCACCTACACGCAGATGTGGATCTGGCACCAGCCTCTCACAGGAGACGGAATCTGCGGAGAAGTCCAAATTCCTAATTGGCTTTTTGCTTTTTAATGAAAATGAGTATTTCAGAGTAGCGCACTCAACCCGTACGCATTTAAAACACAAACATTTCCACCAAGAGAAAGTATATCAAAATCTACCTAGTAAAGGACTGGATGCAGTTGGTAGTTTAGGAAAGTCAGATTGCAGAGATTTTCTCTTGCTGGTTCCTTGTGGCTCACGCTCCCTTTTGCCAGGGCTTTTCTACAAAGCTGTCCAGTTTTTCCAAAACTCTCCGTGGTGGTTCGGGGAATGTGGTCATTTCGGCAGGACCCGGTCCGAGGCCTCTCGGGACGCCCAGATCAAACGGGCCAGCGGCGTTTTTCATGCCCAGGCCGGGGGTTGGGGACTATCACCCGGAGATAGTCGGTCCTCACCATCCGGTCCACAAAAGCGTTTCTATGTTGGGACCCCATAGTACCCAGAAGTTACTGAGCACTTGGAAGCCAAAGACTGACGTTGTCATAAGAACCCAGTGCTTTTCTTTCTTTTCTAAACACTCGCCTCCTGTCTCGGGCCTGCCTTATTTCAGCCGCACGCAAGAGTAAACGTTCTCTAGCTGACGGACTCCGGCCGGGTCTCGGGATCAGTGGAGAGCCGTCAAGGATCTGGAAATCCCGTGCCAACCTCCTGCCCACGCTTCCCAGCCGCAAGAGCAGACGCTACTTCTTTTCCCCTTGTCACATTAGGAAACTGCATTCTGAGCTAGCCAAATGAGCCCCAATTTCCCAAAATCAAAATTAATAATGCCCTTCAATTAAAAAACATTAAAAGCCACTGTGAATGTTTCTGAAGTTGCAGTTTACACTCCAGAAGTCTCCAGAGCAAAGCCACAGATAAAAACGTACGACGAACGCCGGATCTTCACGTGTTAGCTCACGGGCATCGTTGGCGGTTGTGTACAAATATCACAAACGAAATGGAACCAACTGCTTCCGACCTGTAGAGCTGGAGTCCGCAGGCTTTTTTGACCGTATTGCCCAGCAGAGTTTGTGTACAACCTCAACACATGTATGTTTATAAATTATATTAATGAACTAATATACTGTTATCAAACATACAAGGAAAATAGATCGTTTAAAGTATGATGAAAATATGTTTCTCTAAACGAATAGAAGTTCTAATATTTTCATGCGTGCCCCACTTCGGAGAGCACTGCCAGCTGCCCATACATGTGTGTGCAGTAAACTCAGCTGGGAGAGAAAATTGAAACAAATGCAGGTGCTCGTGGGTACCTGGGCCTTGCTTCTTAAGGCAGTCAGCCAGGCCAATAATGGCCCCAAGCTGAGCCACGTGGGGCACAGCGGAGCCAATGGCGCGGCGGCCGGCCCGCCAGTCCCCGCCGGGGGCGGGTTCCCTCTGCGAGCAGGTCGGAGCTGTCAAAGCGAGCAGGGGTGGCGCCGGGAGTGGGAGAGCCGCACAGCTCCAAGTCTCCGGCTCCAGCTCCCTACTTCGGGTACCCAACCCCGGGCGGCAGCCATGAACGGCGAGGAGCAGTACTACGCGGCCACGCAGCTTTACAAGGACCCGTGCGCGTTCCAGAGGGGCCCGGCGCCAGAGTTCAGCGCCAGCCCCCCTGCGTGCTTGTACATGGGTCGCCAGCACCCGCCGCCGCCGCCCCCGTTCCCGGGCGCCCTGGGCGCTCTGGAGCAGGGCAGCCCCCCGGACATCTCCTCGTACGAGGTGCCTCCCCTCGCCGACGACCTCGCGCACCTCCACCACCACCTTCCCTCTCAGCTGGCCCTCCCCCACCCTCCGGCCGGGCCCTTCCCGGATGCAGCCGAGCCAGGCGCCCTGGAGGAGCCCAGCCGCGTCCAGCTGCCTTTCCCATGGATGAAGTCTACCAAGGCTCACGCATGGAAAGGCCAGTGGGCAGGTAAGCCGGGCTTCCGGCCCCCTTTGTTCTCCCCCCGCTCTTGGCCCGGCTGCCCCTACCTCCACGCGTTCCCCAGGACCCTCTCCCAGTTCGCGTTCTTAGTCCCTACGGATAACCCGGGATAGGACTAAACTGCACAGGGAGCCAACGAGGCCATCCTTCACAGAAGCGCTTTTCTGGGCCAATGTGGAGCGGCTTTTCCACTCAGCTGTCCTCCCGGGAGCTTAAACCCCTTCCTTTCCTGCACACTGAACTCCAGGAGCCCGCGCTCTCCGTGCGAGCCAAGGCCTGGCCGAGCTCAAGGCTTCGGTCCCTCAGGATCCTCCTCCAGCCCGGGGATCCTCCCGCCCAAGACTCCCGGGAGTGAGCGTCAAGGAAGCCGAGCAGGGTTTTGGGATGCTTCTGACGCCGGCCAGAGCGCGCCTTCGGAGCCCCGGGCCCTCTCTCGCCCTGAGCCCTCCCGGGCAGCTTCATTAGAGAAGGGCAGGCAGTCTCGGGGGGTACCCGTTAGATGCAGAAAAGCAGGGAGGGAAAATTGCACCCAAGCCTGCAAAGGTGTTGGCGGAGAGCGGTCACCGCAAGGCCGAGAACGGGCCGCTCACCCTTGGAGCCAGGCAGCTGGCAGAGACGCCTGCGATGCTAATTAATTTTCGAACAAACAAAAGCGTTTGAAGGGGTCTCCCCGCGCTTCTTCGCAGCAAGTAAATTTGAGGAAGAAGATGCCCTCCTTGCGCAGCTGGCTCAGAGAGACGGGAGCCCTGGGTCCCCGCGGCCCTAGACGCTGGCGTGTAACACGCCTTGCCAGGAGGCGGAGATGCGGAGCAGTCCCCAGGTCCCTTCCCCGCCCGGAGCTGGCGGCGAGTTCCTGCGCGGCCTGTGCCGCCCCCCCTACACAATGTTATCGCTTCCGCGCCTCAGCCACTTGTGGTCACACCTGCACTGCAAATACTAGTTTGACTTCTCTTTTTCTTCCAACTAACAGTCCAGAGTAGGGGGAAAGAGGATCGAGCTATCCTCCTCCTTCCTCTCCTCTGAGAATCCTCTGCGCCCTGTCTGTCGGGTCTGGCCGGCCTGCCTGACACTGACCACTGAGCGGCCAAGCGGGACTTTGGGGTGTCTGGGCTCCCCCAGGGTCCCTGGGGGTCGCCTCTTCCTAGTTCACTTTCTCGCGAAGGCTGAGTGTGAGGACTGGGTAGGTCTTGAAACGGGACAGGGCCTAAACTCGTCTGCAATCTTCCCCAACTCCCGCGAAACCTCGGAGGAAGAGGGCGCCAGACGCTTCGAGGCGCCTCTGTGTACTTATCTAGCCCGCGCGGCCGGGTCAAAGGCCTCGGAGTCTTAGGAAGTGCGGGATTCTTGGGAGATGGGGAGAATGGCATCCCTTGACTGAGAGTAGGGGACTCAGCCCGTAGTTTCCTGCCAGGAGCTGCGGTCCCTCCAAGGGCTCCCTTCCCTCAGCGCGCTGGGGACGTGTGTTTCCGACGTTCCCGGCCCTCCTGGCTGCTTCCTCAGGAAAAAGGCAAGGGAGGCCCTGAAACAGGTTTTCAGAGGTGGAGTGACTTTCCTACCTCCCTCCCCCCAGGGCGTTACCCCTGCTCTGGGGCAGCTTGGGCTCGAGTGGACCCCAGGAGCCAGAAAGTAAAATCCGAAGGAAAATCGACAACTTTGCCCGGGAATGGGGGATCCCTGAAAGATGACATCCTTGGGCTGGAGAGTCAGGGGCTGGAGAGGACTTTGCCAGCGCCCTCTGACCCGCTGCATGCTCAGCCCGCGGGGAAGGGGCCCACTATCCCTCTCCTGGAAGCTGCCTGGGAGGTGCTGCAGCAGCCTGCGCCGTCCTCCCGGGAAACTTTCGAAGGAGCCCAACTTCAAGGGTCTGTGAACCCGTCTGCCCGCTCCTGGTGAGGTTTCACACCCCTGGGGAGAGCACAGTGACCGAAAGGCTTTCATTTGCAGTACGGATATGAATACTAATAATTGGGACTTTTGAAAACAACTTAAAAAATGAACTGCATCAGCCTCACTGGCAAGCTGGCCCCTAAACCGCCTCACCCTGTGCCTGAGGGAAGGGCACAGACCTGGGGCCCTTGACATCTTCCCAGTAACACCAACAACAGCCTCCATCCCCTGCCGACTCGTCCTGGGCACGAGTCCCCTGGGATAGTGGACCCTGAACAGCCTCTCGCAGCACCTGGTGGGGCCCTCCGAAGAGGGCGGGAACTCCGAGATGTTGTGGGTTGAATTTAAGAACCAAGGAAGGCTTGGGAGTGTAAGACTCAGAGATGCTCCCCCAGCGAGCAGGAGTCCGCCAACTCGGGCCTGGACCTCTGCCTTAGCTTCTGGGCACCTCTTTTCGGCCTGGGGGGGCAACCCGGGATGGGGGTTCTATCATGTAATTAACCCTCCCCCAAACACATACACACTAGCTCTTCAACTCCCCTAAGGCCTGGCCAACAGTCACAGGAGGAACGCCCCATACCTCTGCCCGAATTCAAGCCGACTCAGGCCTCTTCCCGGAGTTTTGGTGGAACTTACCTCGTCGGTATCGCGCACAGACGCGAAAAGGTCAGGAGCTGGAGGGGCCATCGGCACATGGCAGGTGTGCGGCGCTCATATACCCCGCCAGGCCCGGCTGTGCTTCCTTCCGACGGGGGCTTGGAGCTGGGATCCTCGAACCCTGGCCCCCACCACTACCCCCTCCTCGGGCTCTCAGCTCCCCAGCGGGGATCTGGTCCCCAGCCTCCCCTCTCTGCTTCTGCCAGCATTTGGAGCCCAGGACATAGCGGCCAGTGCTGACAACGACCTCCCGGGAGCCCAGAATGCTTCCCCTTGTCCTCAGGGGCAGGGGCCCGGCAGAGGTTAAAATGACAGTTACAGAGAATTGACCGGCTCTTGAGTTGGGACTGATTACAATATAATTATAGCGAGAGATAATATATGGCCAGATGTAACAATATGTCATAACAATATGTCATAACCTCAGGGTTTTTATTAGCTCAAGGTTTTTCAAACTGAGGGTTGCACCCATTAGTCGGTCTTGAAATCAATTTACTGGGTTGAGACTTTTGTTTTTTAACGAAATAGTAAACAATAAGAAAAATTAGATAGCATCCTATGTGGTAAAGGTTGGTTTTATGTCTTGAAATTTTTTGTGTCAGTTATATATCGGTGTGTGAACTAGGTAGTGGTCTGTAATGTATTTCTTACTGTGGGTCATCTTCAGAAAGTTGTAGTTTTTTAAGTCCTGTATTAGAGGCATTTTATTGCCTTTGTAGAATCTAGTCGCTTTAAATATCTGTTACGCGCATTTTAATCAGCAGCAACCCAAACACGAGTTAAACGAACTCATTCAAGAACCACTCGTTGATAGAGCCCACCGCCGGCTCACGGAGAGAGCATGCGCAGCTTTGACTTTCAAGAAAAGGCAACCTTTACTAGGAAAGGGCCCCGTGCGCCCAGACTGGACTCTGGGATAGGGGGCTGGGACTTGGTGGCGGGAGCAGCTAGGAGGTCCAGGCTCCTAGTGTTGGGACCGAAGTGTTGGGCTGCGTGGGTAGGGGCAGGGCAGGGCAGGAGGAGCCAGGGGTTGGGGCACCACACTCACGTGCTATGTCGTCCGCAGGCGGTGCCTACGCAGCAGAGCCAGAGGAGAACAAGCGGACGCGCACCGCCTACACGCGCGCGCAGCTGCTGGAGCTGGAGAAGGAGTTCCTGTTCAACAAATACATCTCTCGGCCTCGCCGGGTAGAGCTGGCCGTCATGCTGAACTTGACTGAGAGACACATCAAGATCTGGTTCCAAAACCGCCGCATGAAGTGGAAAAAGGAGGAAGACAAGAAGCGCAGCTGTGGGACAGCCGCTGGGGCTGGCGGGGACGCGGAGCCGGAGCAAGACTGCGCGGTGACCTCAGGCGAGGAGCTGCTGGCATTGCCGCCACCGCCGCCCCCGGGGGGTGCCGTGCCGCCTGCTGTTCCCGCCGCAGCCCGAGAGGGCCGCCTGCCGCCTGGCCTTAGCGCGTCGCCGCAGCCCTCCAGTGTTGCGCCCCGGCGGCCGCAGGAACCCCGGTGAGAGATGGGGACTCCTCCCTGTCGTGTGGCTTCAACCACTCGCAGAGGAGGGGGGGCGGGCCTAGGACCCTGGATGTGGACGACTGGCCCTGGCGGTTCCATGGACGGAAGCTGCGGAGCCCACCCCAGACGGGAGGAAAGAACCCGTGCTCTCAGGCGCCTGTGCCAATTGGGGCGCCGCGGAGAGATGCTGGCAGACCCTCCGGAAGGAGAAAAGACGTTTTCTGTAATATCTAGGGCCTCGTCTGGGGATATTGTTGGATGCGCGACGCCTACCGCTATTGTGCAGGTCCCCGCACTCCAGAACCGTGGACATCTTTAGAGAAGCCAACTCTTTAAAAGACAACAAAAACTGTACAAATTGGACCACTTCCCAACACATGGCAGGCAAGCGGGATGGAGTGCCCAGAAACAGTCATTTTTACTCAGGCTTCCTTAAGGTTTAAAAATAATTGAGAGGAAACTTCTGAGGTTTCAAAGACCCAGTGAAATTGATGCCTGTGGAATAGAATAATTCCTCCTCCTCCTCCTCCTTTTTAAATCCTTTTAGCATAGCCACACCCTTCACCAGCGCACATCCTGCAACCGGCATCTTTTCCTCTGCAGAAGAGAACATCTTGTAAGGGTGGGTGGGCACCGGCAGGGCTAGGGTGTAAGGGCAGAGCGAGAGTCCCTGTACACCCCGTGGGCCCAACATTTCTAGAGAGGGCAGGGGAGATGGGCCTGCCCCAAGGGATTTGAGGGAGAAAGATGGACCCCTGAGTGATCAAAACTGAAGAGATTTGGAGCTTTCTCTTTAGGATGTGGATTTAGTTCCTGGTCTCAGAACCGGGGAGGCTGTGTGGAAGGCAAGCAAGGTGGCCTGACCCACTTTGGAAACTATTCACAGAGCCAGTATGATTTCCACATCTTTAGAAATGATTAAAAAATGCGTGGTTGGGGAATTTGGAAAACTGGTTATTTTTATTTAAAGATTTAAAATTACCTAACAGTTCTTTACAAACAGGTCTGTAGTTTCCAGGTCAGTTCCTCCTTTCAGAATCTGGGCCTTGTGTTAAGGTGAAGTTTGTGGAAAATGCTTAATAAATACAGATAACACGGAAAGAGATGAAAACTGATTCCCCTCGCTTTGTATCAAACCTTTCTTGTGATGCAGTGATTCCATTTCGTTTTAAAAATTAAAGCAGCATTAACGTCTTCAGTACTAACTAGGGAAAGTTAGTGATTACGAAACACTACTTTCGGGTTTGGGGTTGGGGCAGCGTATGAGCGGCTGGATTTTCGGTTTTATTTCATTTTTAGTTTGAGTCGCTTCTCATGATGAATTTCTTAGGCAATATAGCCCAGAGGCATGGGGGGTTCGGAGTGCCGCTGGCTAGCGCGGAATGGGCGTAGAACCCAGACCAGCCGGAGCGCGCAGCCGGTCAGGGCAGTGGCCGGCTTTCTTTCCTCCCAAAGCGGCATCTAGGGCGACGCCTTTTTCTGAGGCTCTTCCAAAGGAAGTGTTACTTTGGATGAGTCTCCGCCCCTGGAGCCCGAGGGCCAAGAGTGTCTTGTGTTAGGGGCAAACAGGCCCTGACTTAGTTGCCTTCGACCTCTGGGCCCACTCTGCTCCTGCCCGCGCTCCGATGGGCGTCTTAGCCCTGCTGTGCGCCTGAACACGCCTCTTGAGTGCTCCTCCCGTTCTGGGCAATAGGCCCACTCCCAGGAGTCGCTATTATTTTCTTTTGCAGAGAGACCCAGGGCTTGTTTTTGTTTTGTTGTTGGTTTTTGCTTTTGTTTTTTTGAAAGAAATCGAGTCATAACGCCCCTCCGAAGAAAAGAAGTTCCCATGGATCAGAAAAGGGAACATTCTCCTCAGTGAGACGTCTCACAGGGAAGACGCGCTCTTGCCCTGCAGCCTCTCCACACCCGCCCGGGCTCTGGAGTCCAGCAAATCTGCGTTCGAACCCCGGTCCCTCAAATACTGGCCCGTGACTCTGATAAAATTATTAAGCTTCCCTGTGCCTCAGTCTCCTCATCTGTAAAGTGGAGGTGAATACTACCTCGTAGAGCTGTGAGATTTAAACCAAATACATGTAAAGCGCTTAATTCAATATCTAGAAAATAGTTTTCCCTCCACAAATATTAGCTATTGTTTATGAGCATCATCATTTTCGGAAGCAACCAGGGAGCTCCTGCTGCAGAGATTTCCCGGGTCTCCTGCCGGCAGAGCAGCCCCTCTCCTTTGGCAAATCCCCACGCTGTCGCTGTTGACCTGACTCTTGTTCATATAACCACTGATCCTTACTGAGCATTCCCTAGTTTCACGACGCCCTTCCTCATAAACTCCTTTGATTTCCCACAGCAACCTTCACCAGGTGAGTGAGACTGGCCCCGCTTACACGAGGGAAGCTGCTGCCGAGGGCGGTGGGGGAGGACCCTCTGGAGCTCAGCCGCCCCGTGGGTGGCGGCGCGCAGACTTGTCATCGGAAGCAAGGAGGTTTTCAGGGCTCCACACCCAAAGCGCCGCCCTCTCTGAGGCTCGCGTCGCAATCTCGCCCGTGCCCTGGCCTGGCCTCGGCCTCCGCACGGGTTCGAGGGTTCGCCAACCCAAGAAGAGGCGCGGGCCGCCCGGGCCGGGCTTGGCCAGCGGAGGGCGCGGGGGCTGACTCCGGCCAGGCGTGCGGCCTCCAACTGCCCAGGGCCGCCGGGGATCGCAGAGCTCTGCTGAAAGCGCGACTCGGCCGCTCTCCCGGACTCTGAGCCGGGGCCGTCGGAAAAGATCCCGCAGAGAAGAGCTCCGGCTTTCGGGTTCTGCCGCCACGGGCTTGAATTCCGGCCCTGCTTACCTGTGCGTGGCCTTGAGCAAATCACTTAATTCTCCGTTTCCTCTTCTATAAAGTGGGCTCTTAACGAGGATGAAATGAGATGATGTCTTTGAAGAGTTTATTACCCGGCTTGGCGCGTAGTCGCCGGTACACGTGGTGGGGGTGGGGGTGGCGGAGGTGAGGTGATGTTGCCAGTAGAGGCCGCGGAGAGCGAAGCCCGGCTAGCCAGATGCGCCTTGAAGAGAGGAAGGAAGGAACGCGCTCCGGCAAGGGGGAGCGCCACTCGGGGCTCCAAGAGAGCGGCAGAAGAGGGGCGAAGGACTTTGTCCCGACCCCTCTCGCCGCAGGGTCTAGATCAGGCCCCATGGGGCGATCCGCGTGGGGCTCTCAACTCTGCGCGGCCACCCTCGGCCAACTGGCTAGTGGACGCGAACCGTGGGCCCGAGGGGCGAGGTCGCTCCCAGCTCCAAGCCTGAACCCACGCACCGGGCCCAGTCTCCCGAGTGAGCCCGGAAAAAAAACAGCCAACCAGGCCTCGGGAAGGGATTCTTTCTGCCAATCCAGTGATCTTCTCCAGGTCCCAGAACTCCAGCAGTGACCCTGGTGCCTGCCTCCCCTTTAGCGCTGTCAGCCTTGCTCTGCTCTTCAGGCTTGGCGTGCTCCTCTCATGCAGTGAACAGACATCGGTGGCCTTCGAAAGCTCTCAGGAAAGGTGGCCCTCGGCGTGGAGCAAGAGCAGGGCTCCTGCAAACGCTGGGCGCCGTTCCCCGCGCAATGCGCGCCGTCTCGGCGAGTGCGCTCCAGCATCCCGGGGCAGCCAGGCTCTGCTCACCGCGCCCGGACCTCCACGCCTCTCCTTTCCCCTAAGATCCTCCGAGCTGGAGCCACAAGCCCTCCATTCCTCCCAGAATCTTCGACCCGAGTTGAGGTATGTTCCCGGAGCGCCACTGGGAGCTGCGAACTATCCGGGCGCTGGTTGCGCGCCAAGACCAGCTCTCGCCGAGCGCTCCGAGTGCCGAAGTACGGTCCCGGCCCTGTCAAAGCTGCCGGTCCGGGGAGTCGGAAAATTCGGCACCGGTTCCTCACCACACACACCCTCACACAGAAGCCACTGAGAGAATGGGAGCCAGGGTCGAGAACCGGGGAGAGCATGCCGCTCTGCGAGCGGGGGCCTGAGCTATGGGACTCCTTGTGGATAGCGTCGGATCGCACAGTGCCAGAAATAGTGCACGGCAAACAAAAATCTTTTCTTCTGCGATATATTTCTTCCCATAGATTTGCTAACAGTTACTCGAAGAAGTTCTCACCTTAAGAGCTAAATTCATACCGTGTAATAATAATATCTGAATGTTGGTGATGATTTCATGTTCCGCCTATTGTTTTTAACAGGTTTGCTATCTGTAATTCGCTTGCACTTTCCGCTCCGGGACTGGTGCCTGAATGCCTTCAGCAACACTTACTGGGCTCTTATCTGTGTCGGACACCTCTGAAAGTCGCACAGTGCTTGCCCTGGAAGCACTCACGGTTTTAAAAAGCCAGATCACCTCTTCTCCTGATGGTCACCACAGTCATGGAGATCGATTATCGGTGAATTTACCAGAGTAAATAGGAATCACTCAGGTTCCCCAAATTTCTCCTTTTGAACAACAAAGGCTGTTTTGATTTCCCAAATTAATTTTGGCCCCCTTAGTCTGGCGCTTTCACCCTCTCCATATCCTCTCCTTCATCTAATTCAGTTCAATGCATTTAAATTTGAATGAAATCTAAGTACTGCATTGTCCTTTCCAGTTGGTGGAATCTGCCTGTTCTTGTATTCCCATTCCTTCATTCTCTCTTTCCCACCTGTTTCTCTCTAGATCTGTGTGTCTATGTAGGTGTGATGTGTGTCTTAGTGTGAGTCTCTCTATCTATGTGTGTCTGGGTATGCCTGGGTGGCCTATGTATATTTGTGTGCATGTGTTTAGGGTGTGTCTTATGTGGGTTGCAACAGGGGCAATGATCAGTGTATATCTAGGGACCAGGGACACCTTCCTATATTCTCTTTTTTTCCGCCCAGCACAGCCATCCCCCAAGTGTGTGATGACATTGCTGCTGATGAAAACTGTCCACTCAGGTAACTGTCTCAATTCTTTGTGTTGACACAATGTTTGAAGGCGGGAAAAGCTGTCTTTATGAGAACACAGGTTGGAACGTTGGTAGAAGCTGATTGCTAAAGGACTGCATGATTGCATAAGGAATTAATTTTTTCTTCTTTCTA